CTTTAAAAAATTAAATATTAAAAAAAAAAATGTAAACTATTCCAATCTGTTTCTCCCTGGCAGTGAAAGCCTCCCCTTCCAAGAAGAGCCGGAGCGGCCCCGCCATTCCCAGACGGAGCTGCCCGGGGGGGATCCCAGCCCAGCTCCACGGGGGCTCCGACCCCAAAGCACAAGTGACCACCGAGGCAGACGTGGAGCAAGGTTGGGAAAAATCCCAAAAATCCCTCGTTTTCCAGCTTTTTATCCCATTGGAGCTGCCTGCCTGCGGAGCTGGGCGGAGAAAACAGGGAAAAAATACGATTGTTTGGGTTCTGGGAGTGCTGGGACAGGAACAGGGGGTTCTCCACATTCCAGAGGTGTTTCCAATGGGATCCCAAGCCCTGGAATTGTGCTGGTGGTGGGACAGGAACAGGGGGATTACTGGTTTGTTTCCAGTGGGATCCCAAGCTCTGGAAGTTGTGGGACAGGAATAAGGGGTTCTCCAAGTTCCTGGGGTGTCTCCAGTGGGATCCTGATCCCTGGAATTGTGCTGGTGGTGGGACAGGAACAGGGGGCTCTCCACATTCCATAGGTCTCTCCAGTGGGATCCTGAGCCCTGGGAGTGGTGGGACAGGAACAGGGGGTTCTCCAGTGGGATGCCAAGCCCTGGAATTGTGCTGGTGGTGGGACAGGAACAGGGGGTTCTCCACATTCCAGAGGTGTCTCCAATGGGATCCCAAGCTCTGGAAGTTGTGGGACAGGAATAAGGGACTCTCCAGGTTCCTGGAGTGTCTCCAGTGGGATCCCAAGCCCTGGGAGTGGTGGGACAGGAACAGGGGGTTCTCCAGGTTCCTGGGGTGTCTCCAGTGGGATCCTAATCCCTGGAATTCTGCTGGAACATCTTTTAGGATCCCACCTCGGCCGCCCGGATCTCCTGCCCCGGACTCTGCCCGTGGACGAAGCCAACAGCGACTCGGTGGCCACCACCCTGTCCACGTCCTCCCTGGGCAGTGGGGGCCTCAATTCCCCTGCCAACAGGTGAGGATGGAACTCCTTGGCTCCTTCCCAAGCCTTTGGATTCCCTCTGGAATGTTCTGGGCCAGGGGCCGTGCGTGGGGGGTTCCGGAGTGTTCCCAAGTGGGAACGTCCCTGTCCCCATCCCTGAGTTGTCCTTGTCAGGTTCCTGCTGCTTCTTGCTGGGTGGCTTCTGCTTCCCTGGGGGACTTGTGCTTTTAATCTCGTTAATTTTAATCTAATTAACAAAATATTGTTGATTATTTGGAGTTAATTTGGCCCGGAACGGCGGGGAGCTCGCGCTGGTCCGGCGAGGTTTCGGTGCCAAAATTTGTGTGATGGGATTCAAGGTGTGACCTTTCCAGAGGGTTGGGATCTTCTGGGACTCCAGGAGGGCTCAGCACTGAGCTCCCACAGCTCCCAAACATCCTGGAATTGCCTGGAACCTTCTGCAAAGCTCATGGAACCTTCTGGAAAACACCACCCCGGGCTCGTTTTTAGACCCGGAGGGCTGATTTTTTGGATTATTTAAGTGTTTTTTTGATTTTTTAGATGGTTTTTTGGCTTCCTCCACCTAAAATTTTGCCCAAGGATTGCTGTGCCGGGATATTCCCGTGGCTGGGAAGAGCAGGGGGCCCTGGATCTGTGGTTTATTGACCTTTAAAACCTGCTTTACAGGTGTCCCCCCCCTTCTGTTTCCCCAGCGGCTCCCCCGGCCCCTCCATCCCCGAGCGCTCCCTGGAGCTGAGGGAGCAGCTCCAGGACCTGCAGGAGACAGAGATCAGCTTTGTGAGTATTCCCAGAGGGAAAAGGCAGCCCTGGGATGGATCAGGAGGGAGGATTTTGGGGACTGGTGTGATCCCTGTCCCGTTGGGAACACGGAATTGGGAGCGGGGCAGGAGCAGCTCTTCACCCCTCCCCAAATCCACCTCCCTGCTCCTGGGGGGGGATCTGCTGCCCCAAAAGTGGATTTGGGAATCAGATAAAAGGGGGGAGGAATCAGAGAAAACCTGGGATTGGATAAAAAGCAGGGAATTCCCTCATTCCTGAAGGCCTGGAATTGTGTTGGTGATGGGACAGGAACAGGGGGTTCTCCACATTCCAGAGGTGTCTCCAGTGGGATCCCAAGCCCTGGGAGTGCTGGGATAGGAATGGGGGATTCTCCAGTGGGATCACAAGCCCTGGGAGTGATGGGACAGGAACAGGGGGTTCTCCACATTCCAGAGGTGTCTCCAGTGGGATCCCAAGCCCTGGGAATGGTGGGACAGGAATGGGGGATTCTCCAATGGGATCACAAGCCCTGGAATTGTGCTGATGGTGGGACAGGAACAGGGGGTTCTCCACATCCCAGAGGTGTCTCCAGTGGGATCCCAGGTGGGCTCTGGAACACCCGGGGTGACTCTTCCCAGGCTCATCTCCTCTCCACTTTTATTCCAGATGGGACTGAGGGGGGGGTAAATAAAACCTCAGCACCCCCTCCACTCCTTTCCCAGGGCAGAGAATTTTTGGGAATGCCTTCCCTGAGGTGTTTTCCCTGCTCACCTTGTCCCTGTTTTCCCCCTCCCCAGTGAATCTGCACCGACAGCGCCGCGATGGACCCGGGTTTGTCCCCACAAACCCTCCTTCATCCTCTTGGTTTTTTAAAACTCTCCGGACAAAATCCTGGAAGCTGGAAGGCCCTGGATACACCTGGGATGGTGTTCAAGCCCCAGGGGCACCTGGAAGTCTCCTCAATCCCACCCTGTGGATTCTCCTGCCTCGGAATCCCACTGGGAAGAGGAGGAGGAGGAGGATGGAGCTGCTCCATGAAACCCTTGGGAAAAGGATCTGACTTTTCAGGGAGAAAAAAACCCTCCCTGGGGAATTCCCAGTGGGAAAAAAGGGCATTGGAGCCTCCTCAGTGCCAGAAGAAAACGTGATTTCTTTTATATCTTCCACCAGGTGGTTTTTTTTTTAATTTAATTGCTCCTCCCAAATTCAATCCTGGCCCTTTTTTTAGTGCTGCAAGTCCGGGAATTCTTAGGATATTTTATTAATAAAATAGGGTTTGTTTTAGGTTTTTGTTTTTTCTTTTTTCCAGTGTTTGCACCAGGAAATATCCCACGGGAGAGAAGGGGGAGGAGCAGAACCCAAGGAAAAGCTCCTGTCTCCCCCTCCTCCCTTCTCCACCTCCCAGGATTTTTGGGATCAGGGAGGATTTGGGAATCTCTCCCAGCCCCAGTTTTTAAGCTCCTCCCTTCCTGGGATTTGCAGGGTGAAGGGGCACTTTTTTTAAAAAGTTTTTTCCTAAAAAAAAACCCACCAAAACCAAACCACCAAACCAGGACCAAACCCACCAGCTCCAATCCCATCCCTGTTTTTATAACTCCTTTTGATATCCCACCTGGATCCCGAGCGAAGCCAAAACTCCCGAGGCCGAAACGGGACAGAAATCCCAAAAATTTCCAGGTGTTTTTTTGGAAGCTTGATTTTTAAAAAACATATTTTTGGGGTTCAGAAGGAGGGATTTTCCTGCTGCCACGTGCCTCTGGATACCCCTGGATACCTTTGGACACCCCCTGAGCCTCCCAGATCCCGGAGCAGACCTCGGACGTTTTATTTTCACTTCAAATGGTTGTTTTTTTAAAGGCAAAAAACCCAAGAAAAACCAAAAAAAAAAAACAGGAATGAAGTGACTCTTCAAGGTTGGAAACTTCCCTTCTTTTTGTTTTTTCTTTTTTACAGAGCTCTGAAAAAAAAAACCCCAGGAATTTATAAAGATTCCTCTGGGAATTTTCCTCAAGGGAGCGACGAATGTAGAGCAGAAAAGGAGTTTTTTTTTTAGTTGATATTCCAGAGTTTCTCTTCCCAACTCCCCCTTCTCTGGTATTTTTTTAAGGAAAAGCTGGGGGTGGTTTTTTTTGATTTTTAATTTTTTAAAAAAATGTCCTTTTTTGCTCCAAAAAGCCCACGTGGAACGGCCTTACCTTGGGGGGGTGTGGAGCAGGAGTTTGGATCTCAAAGGGCTCCTCCAACCCTTCTCCAATCCTGCTGGAGTTTTTTTTTTCCCCCCTTCTCCCAGCAGATTCCCCCACTTTTCTCCCTGGAATAACTGTCTATATTAGACACTTTTTTTTCCCCTTCCCTTCCCAGCTCAGATTGGTTCCTTGTGTTTTTTTTATTTGAAAAAAAAAACAACCCCAAGGCTCCTTTTTTTTGTTTTTCTTTTTTTTGTTTTTTTTTTTCAGGATTTAATATTTATGAAGCTGTATTTAAAGTGTTGGGATTTCAATCCCCTTTTTTTTTTTTCCTGGGAATAGTCGACCCAGGAATGGGGAATGGGGGGGTGTTTGTATCTCTGCTTTGTTACTGGTGTTTCAAAACTGCCTTTTATTTTTTTCTTTTGGGGTGTGCGTGTCCCGAAACGGCCGGAATTTGGGAATTCTGGGGGGGGGCTCTTTCCCCAGTGATGCTGCTCTGGCTTCTGGATGGACACCAGGGGATGGGATGTGGAGCATGGATGGACCTTGCCCGATCTAGGGATGGAATTCTCTCGTCCTGCTCGGTGTCACCGTCAGCTTTGTCACCCCTGGGACACCCAGGAGGGTCACCAGGAGCTCTGGATGGACAGCTGGGGATGGAATGTGGATGGATGGACCTCTCCTGACCTGGGGATGGACCTTAGCTGAGCTGGGGATGGACCTTTCCTGACCTGGGGATGAACCTCTTCTCACCTGGGGATGGACTCTCTCACCCTGCTTGGTGTCACCATCATCTTGGTCACCCCTGGGACACCCAGAAGGGTCCCCAGGAGCTCTGGATGGACAGCAGGGGATGGGATGTGGATGGATGGACCTTTGCTGAGCTGGGGATGGACCTCTCCTGTCCTTGGGATGAACCTCTCCTGACCTGGGGATGGACTCTTCTGTCCTGCTCGGTGTCACCATCAGCTTTGTCACCCCTGGGACACCCAGGAGGGTCACCAGGAGCTCTGGATGGACAGCAGGGGATGGGATGTGGATGGATGGACCTCTCCTGACCTGAAGATGGACCTTTGCTGAGCTGGGGATGGACCTTTGCTGTCCTTGGGATGGACCTCTTCTTACCTGGTCATGGATTTCTCTCGTCCTGCTTGGTGTCACCATCACCTTTGTCACCCCTGGGACACCCAGGAGGGTCAGACCTGTGGTCACGAGGAGCTTTGGATGGACAGCAGGGGATGGAATGTGGATGGATGGACCTTTGCTGACATTTGCTGTCCTTGGGATGGACTCTTCTGTCCTTGGGATGGACCTCTTCTCACCTGGGGATGGACTCTCTCATCCTACTTGGTGTCACTGTCACCTTTGTCACCCCTGGGACACCCAGGAGGGTCAGAGCTGTGGTCACCAGGAGGTCTGGATGGACAGCAGGGGATGGGATGTGGATGGATGGACCTTTGCTGACCTGAGGATGGACATTTGCTGAGCTGGGGATGGACCTCTCCTGACCTGGGGATGGACCTCTTCTTACCTGGTCATGGATTTCTCTTGTCCTGCTCGGTGTCACCATCACCTTTGCCACCCCTGGGACACCCAGGAGGGTCACCAGGAGCTCTGGATGGACAGCAGGGGATGGAATGTGGATGGATGGATGGACCCCTCCTTCCCTCCTCAGCATCATCCTCATCCTCATCACCCCTGGGCCCCCCCAGAGGTTCCCCCCCCGATGTCCCCTGGGCCGTGTGACGTTTGTGGACACGCAAATACACGTGTGATGCTGAACCCCCGCGGCTCTGCCTCTGTCTGGGGGCCTGGGGGGACAGGGGACCTCCCTCGGGTGGGGT